ATATTCATGAAGGAATGTTTAAGATATGATTACTCAGTCTAATTTTCTTTTATTAAGGTGTTTGATAAAATAGAGCATTTTAAGAGGGAAAAGAAAATAAGTGTTAACAAGGTGTGAGTGGACATACAACTAACAAAAGGAGGCGATTCGGAAAGGAGCTGAGAGTATGGTATTATGTGTGGTTATAAAATAAAAGATAGTGCTAGAAACAGTATTGGGATATACAATTGGCTATCTTTTTTATTATCGAAGCTTTTAGAGCCCCTTTCGTTTTTTTGTATTATTATTATTATTTTCAGGTATTATAGGGTCTTGAGTAGGCTTCGTATATTAGCGAATTGTCTGTTTTGCTTGTAATAGGATTTCTGGGTAGGAATGAACCCAATTCAACGTTCGTAACACGACTTAAAGAGGTATTTTGCGTGATAAATCAGCATCAATACCATAAGTTCGTGACATCCCACTAAACCATAAGGAGCCGTAATTAAACAAATCGTTCTGCCCTACAGACATGGGTGGATTGAATTTATCTCCTCACCATCATGTTTGCTGGTCAGTAATGCCACCCTCCCTCCTTTTGTGATGTTAGGCTCTCACGTTTGTGGTAAGTATGAATACTGCTTTAATCAAAGCCCATGGTTGGAATACACTGTCTCTACTAGGTCCATGTTACAAGCAAATCAGATAGTTGAAAAGTCTGTTTTATTGGTTAGATGTCCATATAGTATATCACACTGCTATGAGAATAATTAATGCTTTAAAGAAGTAAGGACTAATAGCAAATCAAAAGATAATGAGAGGGTATAAAATTGTAGAAAAAAAAAGATTTCAGGGTAAGACAAATAAAACATTGAGAAACTCACAAGACTTTGTGGCCAAATTTTGAGCTTAGTATGATTGTCCTTAGTAGATCAGCATCCATAAGATTGAGCTATCTGTCTACTTGCAGTAGAAAAAAACGCATGACTTTTAGGAAGAATAATGTACATTTAACCTGTAGAGATTTGGGAACTGAAAGTTAGGGTTAGGAACATAAGGTTATGATTAATAAACAATGAATAATAGGAAAGGATAAGCCATATATTCTGTGATTTGGTTATATTCGTATTAGTGACTGTCGAACTTGTGATAAGATCCATTTTGAATGTTTTGTGTATTGGTGGAAATCCCTCCATGTATATACTTGCACTTTGTTCCTATTGATCCCCTTAGTTGTACATTGTTGTATTTTGGTCACATTTGAATTGTTAATACTTGTATTTTTTATTATAGTTTTGTTTTTATTACGCATTCACTAAGTTTGTGTTTCTTCCTGAACTGCATTTGTGTTGTTTTACTTGACACTTGTTCTTGGCGGTAGCCATATTGATTTGTTCCTCCTGTTGTGTGTGATCTATCCAGTCAGGATAGAATAACGTTCATTTGTTGTAACTGATTTGATTGATTGAACAATCATTGGTTGAATAGCCGGGTGGTAATATTTGTTTAGAACTGTAGGATCCAAACACGGTTTGGATGTTGAAGAATAGCCTTCCGGGGACTTTAGACACGCGCCCTTTCCCGTCGAAATCAAAATAAGTAATCGGGTAAATAGCGCCAAATGCATGAGATGTCATTTGAAACTCGGATGGTTCTTTCGACATGTCTCCCCCCTGCCACCACAGAAATCTTAAAGCTCATCGATCAGACTCAGGGACCTTCACTTGCATGAACATTTCTTCAACATCCGCAGAGACTGCGATTGCTTCTTTGCGAAAACGCAATAATATACACACTAACTCAGCAGTTGTGTCGGGTCCTTGATAAATCATATCATTTAGAGAAACACCCGCAAACTTGGCGGCACAGTCAAGGACCACTCTCAGTTTTTCTGGCTTTTTCAGGTTTATAACTGCATGGTGAGGTAAGTACCAACGGGGGCGATAACTAGGTTGCAATTGTATTTCAGGGATCTTTTCCGCATAGCCCTTTGTAAAATTACTTTCAATACTTTTGGTATACCTTACGTGTAGACTGTTATCCTTCAACAGTTTACGCTTCAAATTCTGTAATCTACTGTTGGCTACTTCATAGTTTCCCACTTTCCTATTTGGATTCTCTTTCCATGGTATAGGAACTACGAAATGGCCGTTGTCGAAGTGCGTGCCCTCTTCCACAATATTTATAGCTGCCTTATCCTCTACCGATAATGATTTATCATTTGAATAAGCATCGGAAAACTCTGCGTCATAAAACTTACGTACTTCGTTCTCTAATGTCTGTATCTTACTGGTGTGATTAACCACTCTTTCCCTATAATCCGGATACGATGCAGGTCCGAAGACCGTCCACCCCAGCAACGTTTTCACAGCGTACGGGTTCTTCCTTCCACCCAACCGTTGGTCTAACACCCAATGTGCTTCTGGTACGTCGCAACCAATCAACAGTAAAACTTCTTCAGAATCTAGGCTATCTATTGGCACATCATTTAAATGCGGCCACTTAACTAGGTTGTTCATTGCTGACTTTGTTGGCTTATGACCTGGTATACCTGCCACAATCAGAGCTCCTTCAATCGTAACATGTTCAGATCGATCTAAAGAATATACCTCAAAAGGCGCACTCGCGACCTTCATTGTTCTATTACCACCCACAGTCTCAACTACCACTGATGCTTCGTCTTCGCTCAGCCCGAGAGACCTCAAACAGTTTGATTTTATCAGTGTCACATCAGAACCGTTGTCCAACAGAGCATAACCCACAATCTCGGCCTTTCGCGATTTCAACCGTACGGGAATCATGCCTAAACACACTTGACTGATTAGTGATTTAGTATATCCGCAACAATTCGAGATACCAGGTTTGTCACTCTCGCTGTGCAACAAGGAATGGTGTTTCTTTTCACAACCCTCAACGTTACAACGCTTTGTCAGCTTACATTCCTTAACTCTATGTCCTTGTCTAAGACAGACGAAACAGATACCCTTGCTTTTAGCGTGAGACCATCGGTCTTGCACTGTAAGCGCTAAGAACTGTGGACATTTATCAATGGCATGGTCGTAGGAACACATACTGCATTTAGTTTTCGTTGTCGAACTATTCCCTTGCTCTGATTGCACGTGACAGTTCGTCTTTACGTTATGCCCTTTTCTTGAACGGTTTGCTAACCGTCCAAATCTACTACAAGCCACTCTCGCACGCGATGCGATAAACTGAGTGAGCTCGTCGAAGGTCGGTTCTCTGTTATCTTCAGTCAATTTATCCACCCAGTCCGCCCACTGGGCTTGCATAGGTTGAGGCAAGAGTCTCACTATTCTTTCCAAAGTAACTAAGGAATTTAGATCAGAAGTATAATTCATCTGTTCCAAGACCATAGCACAGTTTTCCATTTTAATAGCCAAGTTTGATAGTTGGTCCCCGTCAATATACTCAAAATTCACAGCACTGAATAAGTCCTCTAGTGTTTCTCGAGCAATTACGTGAGACTGTCCGAAAAAACGTTTTAAAATCTCCCTTGCTCTTTTATAGCCAGAGGATGCCTCCATCATGACGCAACCTTCAATAGCTGTTTTAGCCTTGCCCTTACAATAGTGTATCAAATAGAGCAAGCGCTGGCTATCATCCGTGACTCTTGATGCTACATACGTCTCAAATTGCCTTATAAACTTCCACTATCCTCTTGGCTCTCCATCGAAATAACTCAGTTCAACCTTTGGTAGTTCTGGGCCAACAACATGAACTATAGGCAACATGCTCTTTCCTGGTAATTCAGGCCTTTGCTTCTCCTTTAAACTAAGATTTTTTACGTCATCTGACATCGAATTAAGACTAGAATCACTACCATGATAATCAACCCTATTTGAGTCTGAACCATGACGCTTAAGGACGTCAAAAGGCACTTGCTTGACAATAGGGGATTCTTCATTAACATCGACGAACTTTGAGCTTGATTTCCTTCGACGATTAACTGGCATTATAAGCGAAACGACCAATTATTTCCAGAAAATCCGCGAACGATTACCAAAGGATTTCGGCCAAGTAATAATTGTTTAGAACTGTAGGATCCAAACACGGTTTGGATGTTGAAGAATAGCCTTCCGGGGACTTTAGACACGCGCCCTTTCCCGTCGAAATCAAAACAAGTAATCGGGTAAATAGCGCGTGTCTACAGTGCCCGGAAGGCTATTCTTCAACATCCAAACCGTGTTTGGATCCTACAGTTCTAAACAATTATTACTTGGCCGAAATCCTTTGGTAATCGTTCGCGGATTTTCTGGAAATAATTGGTCGTTTCGCTTATAATGCCAGTTAATCGTCGAAGGAAATCAAGCTCAAAGTTCGTCGATGTTAATGAAGAATCCCCTATTGTCAAGCAAGTGCCTTTTGACGTCCTTAAGGGTCATGGTTCAGACTCAAATAGGGTTGATTATCATGGTAGTGATTCTAGTCTTAATTCGATGTCAGATGACGTAAAAAATCTTAGTTTAAAGGAGAAGCAAAGGCCTGAATTACCAGGAAAGAGCATGTTGCCTATAGTTCATGTTGTTGGCCCAGAACTACCAAAGGTTGAACTGAGTTATTTCGATGGAGAGCCAAGAGGATAGTGGAAGTTTATAAGGCAATTTGAGACGTATGTAGCATCAAGAGTCACGGATGATAGCCAGCGCTTGCTCTATTTGATACACTATTGTAAGGGCAAGGCTAAAACAGCTATTGAAGGTTGCGTCATGATGGAGGCATCCTCTGGCTATAAAAGAGCAAGGGAGATTTTAAAACGTTTTTTCGGACAGTCTCACGTAATTGCTCGAGAAACACTAGAGGACTTATTCAGTGCTGTGAATTTTGAGTATATTGACGGGGACCAACTATCAAACTTGGCTATTAAAATGGAAAACTGTGCTATGGTCTTGGAACAGATGAATTATACTTCTGATCTAAATTCCTTAGTTACTTTGGAAAGAATAGTGAGACTCTTGCCTCAACCTATGCAAGCCCAGTGGGCGGACTGGGTGGATAAATTGACTGAAGATAACAGAGAACCGACCTTCGACGAGCTCACTCAGTTTATCGCATCGCGTGCGAGAGTGGCTTGTAGTAGATTTGGACGGTTAGCAAACCGTTCAAGAAAAGGGCATAACGTAAAGACGAACTGTCACGTGCAATCAGAGCAAGGGAATAGTTCGACAACGAAAACTAAATGCAGTATGTGTTCCTACGACCATGCCATTGATAAATGTCCACAGTTCTTAGCGCTTACAGTGCAAGACCGATGGTCTCACGCTAAAAGCAAGGGTATCTGTTTCGTCTGTCTTAGACAAGGACATAGAGTTAAGGAATGTAAGCTGACAAAGCGTTGTAACGTTGAGGGTTGTGAAAAGAAACACCATTCCTTGTTGCACAGCGAGAGTGACAAACCTGGTATCTCGAATTGTTGCGGATATACTAAATCACTAATCAGTCAAGTGTGTTTAGGCATGATTCCCGTACGGTTGAAATCGCGAAAGGCCGAGATTGTGGGTTATGCTCTGTTGGACAACGGTTCTGATGTGACACTGATAAAATCAAACTGTTTGAGGTCTCTCGGGCTGAGCGAAGACGAAGCATCAGTGGTAGTTGAGACTGTGGGTGGTAATAGAACAATGAAGGTCGCGAGTGCGCCTTTTGAGGTATATTCTTTAGATCGATCTGAACATGTTACGATTGAAGGAGCTCTGATTGTGGCAGGTATACCAGGTCATAAGCCAACAAAGTCAGCAATGAACAACCTAGTTAAGTGGCCGCATTTAAATGATGTGCCAATAGATAGCCTAGATTCTGAAGAAGTTTTACTGTTGATTGGTTGCGACGTACCAGAAGCACATTGGGTGTTAGACCAACGGTTGGGTGGAAGGAAGAACCCGTACGCTGTGAAAACGTTGCTGGGGTGGACGGTCTTCGGACCTGCATCGTATCCGGATTATAGGGAAAGAGTGGTTAATCACACCAGTAAGATACAGACATTAGAGAACGAAGTACGTAAGTTTTATGACGCAGAGTTTTCCGATGCTTATTCAAATGATAAATCATTATCGGTAGAGGATAAGGCAGCTATAAATATTGTGGAAGAGGGCACGCACTTCGACAACGGCCATTTCGTAGTTCCTATACCATGGAAAGAGAATCCAAATAGGAAAGTGGGAAACTATGAAGTAGCCAACAGTAGATTACAGAATTTGAAGCGTAAACTGTTGAAGGATAACAGTCTACACGTAAGGTATACCAAAAGTATTGAAAGTAATTTTACAAAGGGCTATGCGGAAAAGATCCCTGAAATACAATTGCAACCTAGTTATCGCCCCCGTTGGTACTTACCTCACCATGCAGTTATAAACCTGAAAAAGCCAGAAAAACTGAGAGTGGTCCTTGACTGTGCCGCCAAGTTTGCGGGTGTTTCTCTAAATGATATGATTTATCAAGGACCCGACACAACTGCTGAGTTAGTGTGTATATTATTGCGTTTTCGCAAAGAAGCAATCGCAGTCTCTGCGGATGTTGAAGAAATGTTCATGCAAGTGAAGGTCCCTGAGTCTGATCGATGAGCTTTAAGATTTCTGTGGTGGCAGGAGGGAGACATGTCGAAAGAACCATCCGAGTTTCAAATGACATCTCATCTATTTGGCGCTATTTACCCGATTACTTATTTTGATTTCGACGGGAAAGGGCGCGTGTCTAAAGTCCCCGGAAGGCTATTCTTCAACATGCAAACCGTGTTTGGATCCTACAGTTCTAAACAAATATTACCACCCGGCTATTCAACCAATGATTGTTCAATCAATCAAATCAGTTACAACAAATGAACGTTATTCTATCCTGACTGGATAGATCACACACAACAGGAGGAACAAATCAATATGGCTACCGCCAAGAACAAGTGTCAAGTAAAACAACACAAATGCAGTTCAGGAAGAAACACAAACTTAGTGAATGCGTAATAAAAACAAAACTATAATAAAAAATACAAGTATTAACAATTCAAATGTGACCAAAATACAACAATGTACAACTAAGGGGATCAATAAGAACAAAGTGCAAGTATATACATGGAGGGATTTCCACCAATACACAAAACATTCAAAATGGATCTTAACACAAGTTCGACAGTTACTAATATGAATATAACCAAATCACAGAATATATGGCTTATCCTTTCCTATTATTCATTGTTTATTAATCCTAACCTTATGTTCCTAACCCTAGCTTTCAGTTCCCAAATCTCTACAGGTTAAATGTACATTATTCTTCCTAAAAGTCATGCGTTTTTTTCTACTGCAAGTAGACAGCTCAATCTTATGGATGCTGATCTACTAAGGACAATCATACTAAGCTCAAAATTTGGCCACAAAGTCTTGTGAGTTTCTCAATGTTTTATTTGTCTTACCCTGAAATCTTTTTTTTTCTACAATTTTATACCCTCTCATTATCTTTTGATTTGCTATTAGTCCTTACTTCTTTAAAGCATTATTTATTCTCATAGCAGTGTGATATACTATATGGACATCTAACCCATAAAACAGACTTTTCAACTATCTGATTTGCTTGTAACATGGACCTAGTAGAGACAGTGTATTCCAACCATGGGCTTTGATTAAAGCAGTATTCATACTTACCACAAACGTGAGAGCCTAACATCACAAAAGGAGGGAGGGTGGCGTTACTGACCAGCAAACATGATGGTGAGGAGATAAATTCAATCCACCCATGTCTGTAGGGCAGAACGATTTGTTTAATTACGGCTCCTTATGGTTTAGTGGGATGTCACGAACTTATGGTATTGATGCTGATTTATCACGCAAAATACCTCTTTAAGTCGTGTTACGAACGTTGAATTGGTTTCATTCCTACCCAGAAGTCCTATTACAAGCAAACCAGACAATTCGCTAATATACGAAGCCTACTCAAGACCCTATAATACCTGAAAATAATAATAATAATAATACAAAAAAACGAAAGGGGCTCTAATAGCTTCGATAATAAAAAAGATAGCCAATTGTATATCCCAATACTGTTTCTAGCACTATCTTCTATTTTATAACCACACATAATCCCATACTCTCAGCTCCTTTCCGAATCGCCTCCATTTGTCAGTTGTATGTCCACTCACACCTTGTTAACACTTATTTTCTTTAACCTATTAAAATGCTCTTTCTTAACAAACACCTTAATAAAAGAAAATCAGACTGAGTAATCATACCTTAAACATTCCTTCATGAATATTGGCTACTCTGCCGCTCGTGTTTTCTTTTACTTGCTCCCTCTTTTAGCCCCCTTGTGATATGGAACGAAAGATTTCATCCTGCACCATCCTCAAAGCCTTAGACATTCCAAAAGGGACATAAGGTTGCGACATTTAGAAGCTCACACCTTCGATGGACCTATCCTTGGCCATCAGTTGCACATTTGCAACGCAACTTTCATGAAGCGCGCCAACTGTGGTACTGATTAAAACCATTCTACATGCATATCTTATAAATTATCATCCAGCTATGTAATTTACTACAGTGTATATTGTGTCAATTGTATCAATTTGATCTTGCCTGTAAACTGGCATGCCTCATGTAAAAAACTGTTATTTGAGAATTAATTATTATTATTATTATTCCAAGTGGAAAATGATTTAGGAGTCCTGGTGCCCGACGAGTCAAAGTCCTACGTTAACTGTGATGGAAATTCCTTTCGAGTAAACCTTCTGCTGATAATATTGAGGCGCATTCTTGACCAGTTTAACCGAAGGACTACCCATATAATCTTCAGTAGTCATATTCGTCCCCATTTAGAGTACGGAAACATCGTATTTCCTCCTTCACTCCAAAAGGATAAAAAACTCTGGAGCGTATCCAATGGCAAGCCACGAAATCAGTTCGAGGACTCAAATGTAAACCTTGATGATGTCACAGGTATTCAGTGTTTGACAACGCTTCTACCAGTAACACCTTCTAATATATTTCGTTCCCGCCCAGAGAAATCAAAAGACAGAGTCGAGGAGATCGGAAGAGTATATTTGGCGATGACCAATATATCGGAATTCTCTGATCTAATCTGGCTAGCGATTGCGGTTGATGTTGAGCACGGCGTTACCACACGTGATCTGGTGCGGATGCCTGACCGAGCGCCTTCAGCTAAATGAGTCCATTAAAACATATGGTCAGCATCCAATGTCGAAAACTTAGTGCTATTTATTTTGGGGATTTATTTACCGCTACAGATCACTCCCCCCTAGTGGGGCAGTGACGACCCTAAGACGTGGCCAGCCAGAAGTTTAAACCCAGCGAGTTTGTCGTTGGTAAACACTCTTCTGATAGCTTACTAAATTTAGCAGCGTCTGGTCGTCTTTCCTTACTATATGGGACGGAGGTACAACATAGTAAAAAAAGAAAATGTACAATGAAAATTTCGGATTCTCATAAACGTCATCGTTCTTTTCCAGCCGTCCTGGAAAAGAAAAAAAAATGTAAGTGTATGACGAAATACAATACAATACACAATGTCGGCGAAAAAAATGGGAAATAGACTCAAGCACACGTAATAGCGTTAAAAAAATATTTTTTTGTTGTTTTTTTTTTTAATAGAAATAAAAATATATAAGCATATTAAAATTGTTTTTTTTTTAAAAAAATAATATAAAATTTGGAGAAGTGCCTTACGTGCAATAGTCGTTTAGATGTTCTGGAAATCTCACCCTTCTTCCAGAACGCGTCGTTTTAAGTTTATTTTCGGATACTGTCGAAGTATCATCGTGTGTGTTGGTTGTCGGATGAGGTATTATAAGTGTCGGAGTCGTGTCGTTCGATTGTACCGAAGGAAAATCCACGTAGATAGGATTTCCTTCTAAATGCGCTGCTTTTAAGCGATCGATACTGATGCTATCGTTGGTTCCGTTCTTATCGACTATATAGTACTTAGATTCACGTTGAAGAACTTTGTAAGCCTGTTCGTGTAGGAGGTTAGATCCATGTTCATTGAAGATGATGAAGGATCCACGAATTCTCCTGGAAGTCGAAGTGTCGTACCATAAACGAGTTGAGACGCAGTGTATCCAATGTCAACTTTCACTGCATTGCGAATACCTAGTAAGACGAGTGGAAGAGCCTCGGTCCACTGTGAAACGTTTGCAGCTGATAGTGAAGCTTTTAGTTGTCGGTGAAAACGTTCTACCAACCCGTTTGCTTGTGGATGGTAGGCGGTCGTTCGGAAGCGATTGATCCCTAAAAGTGTGGTCAGCCGACGGAAAAGATCGGATTCAAACTGACGTCCGCGGTCTGTAGTGATGGTTGAAGGGCAACCGAAGTTTGCTACCCATCGTTCGACGAAGGTGCGGGCCACTGTTTCAGCAGTGATGTCCTTGATAGGTACTGCTTCTGGCCATCGAGTGAAACGGCCAACGCAGGTTAGGAGATAAGAGTATCCATTTGAATCTGGTAAAGGTCCTACCAAATCCAGATGAACATGGTCGAAACGAGCATCGGGAGTTTTAAACGAGCCTAAGGGACATTAATTGTGTCTGATAACCTTAGATTTTTGGCAGCTTACACAGGAGCGTGCCCACTCACTCACGTCTTTATTCATGCCAGGCCAGCAAAACCGTTCTGCTATAAGCTTGATGGTTGCACTGTAGTGGCATTAGACAATAGCCACACAATCCACAAAACTGAACACGAGACTACTCAGAAAAATAGATATTCAATATTTAACGCGGAGAAATACCTAACAATGGAGAAGGCGCGAACAATGAATTGAATGGACTGGAGTTGATCGAGTGGCATGGCTCGTCCATGCAGACGTGGTCCATCTCAGTGTTACTTTATATCTTCTATTCATATTAAATATATTGTTCTTTCTCTAGCCTAACCTTGTTCCTCATCATGTATTGGTAATTGATACGATACAGTGAGTTGGTGTAGTCGATGGTGTGACTTCCACGTAAGATCTTATAGATTAGGCAGTTATATCATGACAAATTGACAAGTTTAGGATTAGGTCTATTATTAGAGCAGTACTAATATCATAGTAGACCATAATTCTACATTGGTGAGCCCAACTAAAGAAACGCAACCTATTATTATTAACCCTTATTTCCACTTCAACTTTCTCGATCGATTTTATATTTATGTTAACCCTGTATTCTAATAGTCTTCTGATTAATGCTCACATGTATTATCGTAATGTTATATTGATTAGTTCTCATGACAAACTAGCTCAATCGGTAATAAAAACTGGTCGTCTACATTAACTAATTAGCTTTGATGGTTTGTTAACAAGCTGTAATAGCATTTACATGCTTCAGCGACATAGTCTTGTTTAAACATCAAGCTCTAGCAAATATGACCTGTAAATAGCGTAAATATACATTGACTAACAATGCGATCAAGGACTAAATAGTTATCTGGATCTAATTCTCAGTGTTCCTTCACTTAACACCTCATCCTGTTTTAAACGATGCACTATCCTGTAATATCTTTTCTTCCGACCACTGCCTGCCTAATTTCAAATTTTCGAGTTCCATTGCCAAACAACAAGGATGACACTACTAAAACATACGGTGAGTTTTAGCTATAGGTTTTCTGCAATCATAAGGTCATTTTAGATGGCTCGTT